TTAAAAATCGTATCACCGTTATCGAAAAAAATTCTATCGCGATATATATTGATATCGAATTATTGTCCAGCCCTAGGTTACACCTACCTGAAAAATTTTTTCCTGTAATGGGATAGGCTGTTTCTCAGACCATTTACATGAAGGATATGAAGGATAGTGCTAATGTTAAGGGATAGGAATCTTGTGATTTCTTGTGGGGCATGCACATGACTGCCAGAGCTTTCTCCACAGGAGAAGGAGTGGGAGGGTCAAGCCTCCTCATTCCTTGTTACATCATAGACTGTTTTCTTTGGAGTTTTTAATGTCATCTAATACATTGTTAGAAGAATCTATCTAGCTGCATGAAATCACATATGGGCTCATGAATGTGCTGCAATATAGTTTGGTGTTTTTATTAATCAGACCCTTTCTGTGTCATTGCAGTGCATGGCACTTGGGATGAGTGGTCACCATGGAGCTTGTGCTCATCCACCTGTGGCCGTGGATACAGGGACCGAACACGCACATGCAACCTGCCACAGTTTGGTGGGGACCCCTGCATAGGTCCTGACAAGCAGACGAAATTTTGTAACATTGCTGTCTGCCCAGGTGAACCTGCTTTCTAGTCTGTATTGCAAAAATGTCACAGTAGTCCCCTTGTCACTGTTTCTTTCTGTGTATTCTGCATTGTTTTTATGCCACATTGTCCTTTGTGGCTCAGTGATTACTATGGTCACCACTCCAGGGTTTGAATGCTACCTCTGCTCCGGGTGGCGGAGTGTGCACATTTTCCTGTGTTGTGAGAATTTCCTCCAGGATCTCTGGTGTCCTACCAGTGCAATGACCTGTGGTTAGGGCAAATGACCCCTGTACATTGTGTATGTGTATGTTCCCTGTGATGGACTGGCATCCCATCCAGGCCCATCCCAGCCTCATGGACAGGCTCCCCCCTGTGACCCTGAGCAGGATGAGCGGTCAGAAGCTGTATGGATCTATTCATTGTACAGTAAAAATATTCCACAAGAATGACACAATGTCTTGACCTGATAAAAATCTTAATATGTCACAAGGAAAAATAAAATTAGTTTTCAAGTAAAACATTACACTACTACAAATCAAATCAATAATATGGACGTTTTAGTTGTAACACATCAGAAAAAAAAGTATTTTTGCTTCTTAAAACACTTCCAAAAGCATTTAAATAAATTTGGCTTTAGGCTAAAATATATGAGATATACATATGAAATGTATGTTTACTACAGCTGAATGTAAAGACAAGCAATGGTTTAAATATAAAACCACTAAACATTATTGGCAACACATGGAAACAAGGTGGGAACATTATTTAGATTAAATCCTTGCTAATATGAAGATGACCTGAGTCTGCTGTGACTGACTGAATGATAGTTTCAGAAATTGCATGATGAAATAGAAATTGATCCTGCCAATGTATCTGAGTAAAATGAATGTGGTGGTTTTCCAAAAGAGCGAACCCCATTTGAAAATACAGAATAAAATTACATGTTTTTCACATATTTATGCATCAAAACCAGATCAACAGAATACTTTATTTGATCAGTTAATAAAAACATGTATTATGTTGAATGCCAGAGATTTTTGGGGTTCACAGGCACAAATTATAAAATGGACAAATATTTAGCAAGTAACACCCAAAGATTTAATGCTAGTCCATCAGAGAGTGCACACTCATACATACTGTAATAACACAGAAATACTTACAGAGAAGAATTCAAGTGACCACGTGTTTTGTACTGTAGGAGGACACTGAAGTACCGTAAAGAACCCCACTCACACTCAGGGAGAACATGCTAGCATTGCACACAGTCCAGGTGATTTTATTTCTTAATGTTTTTGTTATGATACATTTTTTTACATAGTTAATGATATTTGATTATGGCAAACTAAATGGTTAAGCTCTCGAAAAAAAATCTTTACATTAACGTCAAAATGGGGGCTTGTATCGCATTTCTAAAGTTAATAATGACTCGGAATTAAATCCTATGTCATTCCTGGTGTGAAAAAAATTTATGAAAAACTAGTAGGGGTTACCAGTGAACAAAGAAAAGGCTTACCTAATGAGCTGGAACTGGAAGGAAATGAATGGAGCGCTTTGAAGGACTCAGCAATTAACCTAAGCTTATTTGTTTTGTTGCTTGTTTGACAATGCACACACTGGCATCATTCATAGTCACATTAGACCAAGCTGACAGTGCTGGGCCTTTACACTGAACATAACAGGATATCACAGCCAAGGGGATTTTATATAAAAGGCGCAGTGGGAGGATCCATGGTGGCAGATGGGTGCAGGGTGGAAGGTGAGAAAATGACATTCATACAAACACAAGTACTCCCACCTGAAGAAACATTTTCCAGAAAGAAAGTCAAATACTCAAGTTCTAAAGATATTTTATTCCTCTTTGGCCTTCAGCATTTAGCAAGCTAAGTGTTGTGTCTAGGAGGAATATTAAATCTTAACATATGTCACTGAAAATCCAGGAAATCAAAGTAATTATTAAGATAGTCATTTCTGGTGTGTTGGTCAAATTGAATATTTTTTCCCAATTTATTCTGGCTTATCTATTATTTTCTTCATTAAGTAAATCATTAGAAAATCTTAGCAGACTATGATAAAAAGACTGCAGATCGCAGCCAGTATTTCAGGTGGCCTGCTAATTTCAGGTGGCTGCCCTTCGCAGACAGCTTGCTCTACAAAGAGCAAGATGAGGGAGGTGTAAAAACAATTTCCCCACGGGGATCAATAAAGTATCAATTATTAATTATTATTATTAATGGTTTGATTTATTTGCAGTTTTTCTGAGATTTTGGATGGGTGATTGAAAGTTGCCTTGTTTTGTCTTTTAACTTTTTTTTCATCCAGTAGACAGTACAGTTATAATGGTTAAGTAATGGAAAACAAATGTTAATGGAGCATCCTGGAATAAAATGGACCTTTTGCTTTGGATGAATTAATTAGAAAGACAGACAGAAAATGAGATGGCTAGACAGATAGATAGATAGATAGATAGATAGATAGATAGATCATTTTTCAAAGGAACAAACAGAGAGTGGCTATAATCCTGTCTTCTCCAACATCCTCCCACCCTGCTGCCCTCTAGTGGATGGTGTCTGGAGTGACTGGTCAGACTGGAGCTCATGTTCTGCCTCCTGTGCCAATGGCACCATGCAGCGCACCCGTGAATGTAACGGGCCCTCCTATGGGGGCTCTGAATGCAGGGGTGAATGGCTGGAAACACAGTCATGCTTCCTGAGGGACTGTCCAGGTAAGTTCACTTTCCTCTCCCCTCTCCTAGTCTGGAGCTAACTGGCAGGAGCAGATCAGACTTTTAGGATGCCATTATCCTTCAGCTTTGTTATCGTTTAATCAATTCATGATTATGATGTTTTGACGTGCAGTGGATGGGAAGTGGCAGGTGTGGACAGCATGGGGCAGCTGCAGCAAGACCTGTGGAGGTGGAAGTCTGAGGAGGCAGAGGGCCTGTTATGGACCCTTCTATGGGGGGGAGCCATGCCCCGGGGACCGCGAGGAACTACGGGAATGCAACGAGAAACGCTGTCCAGGTGGGTCCCTGCACCCCCGCCACCCCAACCCCCCGTCCATCACTTTGTATCTGCCTTGTTATCTGATTGATCTGCCTGCTTACTGAAGCTGGATATATAGTATGCCTGACACCAAGCAGTGCTGGCATGGGCACAGACATTTCGAAACAAGACCAACCACTGTCAGGGAGCTCATTTATGGGCTGTAAGAAGGAGAAGGTGGTGTGACAGCCAGAGTATGTTGTGTTTTTGTGTGGGAAGCTGCCAACGACTGAGAGAGTGGGTGCTCTGAAGAGGAGGCGCTAGGGGAGCAACACGACACATTTACACTTTTGTGTGTTGCCATGTGCATGAATGCAGCCTCTGTGAGCTTCTGTGAGAGGGAACAGTAATGATCTAGTGAGTCATGCCAGCTGATTTGATTTTGAACAGCAGGAATATTTAGAATATTTCATCACCAATGTGTCTGCTTCTTGTCTGAGTCCATGTGGGAGGAAGTGCATGGGTGTGCGTTTATACGTTTTGTCCATCTTGAAAATTGCACATCTGATTTGCTACAGTGCATTCATAATTGCAGAGCCTCACGAGATCTGTGATGAGGAGAACTTCGCTAATGTGGTGTGGAAGAGGACCCCTGCTGGTGACACTGCAGCAGTACGCTGCCCTCCCACCGCCTCTGGTCAGCCTATGCTTCTGTTAGCCTGTTACCACTTGAAATTGGACCTAATGCTGAGCACTACAGATATTGAATGGCTGTGATATTAATCGGGTATGTACATGAACAGGGCTCATACTGCGTCGATGCACTTTGGACGAAGAGGGCATCGCCTACTGGGAGGATCCAACTTACATCAAGTGCATTTCCAATGATTACCTACATATACAGATGATGGTATGCCTCTAGTATATACACTCCTGGCCAAAAAAAGAGGAGAAACCTAAAATTGAGTCCAGATTTGAATCCTATAGAGAATATTTAGTCTCAGATTAAACACAAAATAAGAAGCAAATGATTTTGAACTACTCACCAACTATTTGAAGCTATTAACAGTGTTGAGTCTTCATTCTGTAAAAAGCTGTGTGCAAGACTTAAAAATGAAAGGAAATCAAAGGGAAAAGTTAAGTGACTTTATTTATTTTATCTAATTGTTTGCTTGCTAATATCCTGACGAATTACCTACTGTTGAGACCTTTAAAATCTTTATGTTTTGCAATTTTGGGTTTGGCCTATTTTTGTGTCCAGTAGTACATAAGGCCAGCTTCCAACCAGTTTTACAAAGTCCTGGTAAGGAATACACAATTCATTATATCATACTTAAACAGGAATGGACATGTCCTTTAAAAAATAAGTACATTCCAATATGAGAATTTTTAAGTGCTTAGTTTACAGAAGATGTTCTGTTTAACTGCTCTGGGGGTTTGGCCTAGTGCTCTGTAAAGACATTGTAGAAAACTGTGCATTGTGTGAAAAAGATAAATTAATATTCTAAAATAATTTATTTCAGACACGCGAGCATCTCATAAAAGCCCAACGTGGACTGGTTGGAGATGGAGCTTCAGATGTCCTTGCTAAGCTGAAGACCATATCCAATGATGGGACAAGTTACAGTGGGGACCTGCTGGCTATTGTGGACATCCTAAGGAACATGACTGAAATTTTCAGGAGGTCCTACAATAGTCCCAAGGCTGTAGATGTGCAGGTGGGCTGGCCAGGTCTGACACAGATGTATTTTTGTACACCTGGCAATGAGTTTCATTAGGCAAACTGGATTTTTTTTACTACTAATTTTCTATTCTCAGAACCTCTGTGCATGTTTCTTACATAGAAAATGTACCCAAGTCTCATATATACTCTGTTGCTGTACACAGATATTCCCTAAAAGGCACATCCCCAAGCTCTCACACTCAGCATCTGATTTTTTTTTTCTTTTTCTCTCCAAGTGGTGGCTGTTAAATTCAGTGACTGCTTGTGTGTCTCTGCCATTGTTCTGTAGAACTTTGTCCAATCAGTCAGCAACCTGCTGATGGATGAGAACAGGGATAGATGGGTGGAGGCACAGCTGGTGAGTCTCCTTGACGATTGTTGCTCTTAACCTCTCATTTTCTTCTTTAGCATTTTGCCAAGTTCATCAGAAACATAAACACAATGATATACAATAAAAAGTGAAAGGGTGAGCCTTCTGATTATATTCTACGCCTGGGATGCAATTTGCACCTAAAACCAAGGGCAGAGACGAGATTTTTCCACAATCCACGATTAATCTGTCTTTGTCTGTTTCACGGAAACCCCAGTGATCTATATTGACAATCTGCTCTTACTGTGCATAGACAATGAGGTTCATAACTCTGTGTAATGAACTGCCCAATACCATGAGGCACACTTGAGCATTGTGTTTGATGTCAAAGAGCTTGATGCAGCTCAGCAGGGACACAAAGGCAGCATGTCACCTTTGCCTGGTTGTGTTTTTGATCACTCCAGCCATTACTCTTCCAGGGTGGCATGGTGGTGCAGTGCCTAGCACTGTCATCTCACTTTTCTGGGACCTGGGTTCAAGTCTCTGCCAGGGTTCCATGTGGGTGAGGGTTTGCATGTTCTCCTCATGTTGTGGAATTTCCTCTTGCTACTCTGGTTTCCCCCTAATTGGAGTTTCTAAATTGCCCATAGGTATGTATGTGAATGTGCCCTGCAATGGGTTGGTGCCCCATCCTGGGTTGTTCCCTGCCTTGCACCTGTAGCCTCTGGGATAGGCTCCAGAACCTCTGTGACCCTGAAGAGGGGAAGCAGTTTCGGAAAATGGATGGATGACATTACTCTTCCTTGTTGTCTTACTCAGTGTGTCACTTATCATGTCAAGTTGATCAAGAGGCAAATTTTTAAAGTAGAGCAACTTTAGATGCTTTTGAACCTTTGTGTGTATCCATGGTGTAGCCCAGTGTGAATGTGTGTGCCCATCCAAGGTGTAGCCCAGTGTGTGAATGTGTGTGCCCATCCTCGTGTAGCCCAGTGTGTGAATGTATGTGCTCATCCATTCTGTTCCCAGTTGTGTTAATGTGTGTGCCCATCCATGTTGTAGCCCAGTGTGTGAAAGTGTATGCCCATCCAGGTTGTACACCAGTGTGTGAATTTGTGCGCCCATCTATGGTGTAACCCAGTGTGTGAATGTGTGTGCCTATCTATGGTACAGCCCAGTATGTGAATGTGTGTGTCCATCCATGTGAATGTGTGTGCCCATCTATGGTGTAGCCCAGTGTGTGAATGCGTGTTCCCATCCATGTGAATGTGTGTGCCCATCTATGGTACAGCCCAGTGTGTGAATGCGTGTGCCCATCCATGTGAATGTATGTGCCCATCTATGGTGTAGCCCAGTGTGTGAATGTGTGTGCCCATACATGGTGTAGCCCAGTATGTGTCCATCAAGGGTGTAACCCAGTGTGTGAATGTGTGTACTCATTTTTGATGTATACCAGTGTATGAATGTGTGTGCCCATACGTGGTGTAGCCCAGTTTGTGAATGCGTGTGCCCATACATGATGAAACCCAGTGTTAATGTGTGTACTCATCTATGGTATAGTCAAGCATGTGAATGTGTGTGTCCATCCAGGGTGTACAGCACTGTGTGAATGTGTGTGCCCATACACACTGTAGCTTAGAGTGTGAATGTGTGTGCCCATCCATGCTATAGTCAGGTGCGTGAATGTGTGTGCCCATCCATGGTGTAGCCCAATGTGTCAACATGTGTGCCATCTGTGGTGCAGCCCAGTGTGTAGATGGTGACTGTCTACAATGGTGTAGCCCGACTTTTGTTAGATGGAGTCAAGAGGGGTGTCGCAGGTCTTTGTAACATATGTTGTTTGGCATAGTCTCCAGGTTCCCCTATGGGCTTATCCTGGGTATGAAGTTGGAAAATAGATGAAAACTTCATGGAACCTCTTTATTTCAATTTTCTCAGACAATTTAAGATTTGACCATGAGCAGAGAAAAAAAGACAGATACAGCTATCTGAACAGATTTCACTGTTCACTAAACTATGTGCAAAAAAAGATGTAACTTGTATGGTTGGATGGGGGTAACGCCAAAATGAAAGCCAATGAGAGAGAAGCGAGCTATGTGCAGCTGGCAGTGCGCAGGCCTCGTCCTGGTTTCACACCACCATGTGGCCATGCATAATGCTGAAGGTCCACCTCCAGTGCTGCTCTTGTTACGCACATTGCTGGCCCATTGACGCACATGGAATATGGCACTCCACCTAAGAGTGTGAATCCAAATGCCAAATTGTGTGTGGATATGTTACTGACAGAATTCTTCTTGCTAAGTATGAACTATAGACAATGTGTTATTTCTGGATATTCAAGTATTATTTACACTTATTAAACACTGTTTCCAGCTGGGCTCCAATATCAGAGAACTATTCCGGCTGGTTGAGGACTTTGTAGATGTGATTGGTTTGCGAGTGAACAATCTGCAGGATTCATATAAGGTCACAGAAAACCTAGGTAGGTTCTTCATTTTGTTGTATAACTTTTTTTATTTGCACACATATTATTTGCAATAATAGCAGAAATTTAGTGGCCTATTCAGGATTATAATCATTTCTTGTTGTCTCACAGCATGACAGCAATGCATGTGAGTCAGGTTGCACTAAAATTAGTAGTCATTAGCGGCATTATTTCATTACACTCCATCTTTTCCTTTAAGCATACAAAAATGTTCAATATCTATATTTTATGTTTTTAAGTTAACCTGAGCAGAGATTTTATTGGTAGTAGTCTCTTCACCTTTATGAGGGTTAGTAGCAGAACATCCCTGCAAATGTGAAAATTTGTGAGTAATACTCACCCCTAACTTCAACCCATAACAGTTTCTTAGCCTCAACAATAACATAAAAAGTCTATTTTTAACCAATTTCTAAAGAAACAATACAGTACTGGTGACATTTCCTATCAAGACCATTTTCTACGATATAAAAACCAGCTAAATTATTTAGCTGGTTTTATTTAACTTCCCTAACCATTAGGGTATATGTCTTTTCTCTGGTTGTAGAAATAGTTCGGTGCTTAACTCAAACGTTATCTCAGTGACCATCAAGCCCACCCCTAGCTTTCTAGCTCTCAGAGTTATTACTATACTCACTGGGAGTACTAGGATTTGGATTTGTTATTAAAAATGCAAAATTAATGGCACTGAAACATTTCTGCACTAAATGTGACATTCCACAGTCACAAAGATAGCTAATACGTGACTGAGGCTGGTCACCAAGATAAAGATGTGCATACCTAAGGCAAGACATTTAATATTAAAGATATACTACGTACTTACACTAACAAATATTATCATTGATATTTACATTGTGTCTGTGAGTTTCTGCAATCTTTCATCAAGCTTCAGTAAATATTCCCGTTTAATTGTTCATGGCCATATAGCAAATAACCAAAATTGCAAATGTTAAATGCGGGGATGTGTTGGGGTTATTGTAATAATGATGGCACACTTATCCATGACCCACCTCTTGGTAAGTCAGTAATATTCCTAATCAGCGTATTCAGACACACTGCCTCGTGCATATGTGTAATACTGATATTATAAGTGTATGCAAATTAGTTTATTCTTTGAGTTTAGAATTCATGTCGGATTTCCCATGATGGAAGCCATAACACACCACACTCACATTTTTACTGAAACAATTCCAACTTTGGACTGGAGTTAAGGGTAGAGCAGAAGGCCTCTCTTCACAATCTAATGCCCATGCTTTCCCTGATTAAGAGATGAATAGCTGTCTGTACCTTTCTGCAGTGCTGAGCATTCACCGCCGCCCTGTGGCTGGAACCTCAGACATCATTTTTCCCATGAGTAACTTGTGGGGATTGGTGGACTGGGCAAGACCATATGATAATGTCACTATCCCCCGAAACATCCTGCCAGTAGGTCAGCAAGGTAAGGGTTTGTCTCTGTTATATGTGCCATTCATGCTGTCTGATTAACATGCCAAACCCCCCCCCCCCCAATTTCCTGTTTCGTGCTATCCCTGGACCCTTTTCCAGTCTATATTTATGATGATTTCATCTCTTATTTATTACACATGACTGTCCTTTACAGGTACTTTATGTACTCTCTGTGCGTTCACACATTACTCCTGTGACCATCATCCAAACTTGTTCATTTTTTCCCTTCTTGGGTCACTCTCAGTAGGTACTCACCGTGGCTGACCGTGAGCCCCCCTCAAACCTTGCAGTTTTGGAGATGCTCTGACCTAGTCCTCTGGCCATAATAATTTGGCTCTTGTCATAGCCTCTTCTGCATTCAACATGTTGACTATGAGTAGTGAATGTGAGCTTAACGTCTAATATATCTCAGACCTTGACACACACAGTTTTTGCAAAATACTTAACAATATTTGCTTCATGGGGGACGGGGGTCATAATGTTTGGGCTCACCGGTGTATTTATGTGTGTGTGTTTGTGTGTGTGTATGGATTAGGTTTATATTACATTGCAGGGACCAAGCAACCATTTTTCAGGTCCCCAGAAAGATCTGTGAATGCAATCAAAAAAAGTAAACATGCCAAATATTTTAGTTGTGTGTGTGTGGATCAGAGCATGTGAGCGGAGTGGAGCGGAGCGTCAGCGAGGAGCGGAGCGGGTGGAATTTAGTCAGAGCGTGGAGCGGTTTTTTAATTAAGGCTGGAGCGGTCACTCTGTCTCGCTCCAATTTCGCTCCGATACCGCTCACACTACGATTCTGAGGCATGCCCAAATCTACCCAGAATTCATCTGTACAATTATCAAGACTGTTACACAAATTGACCGAGATGAAATTCGCAAAGTATTTCACAAAGGAAACTGATAAATCATGCAAGTGTACTATTCTTATCAAACGTATAGATGACAATAATGTAGAGCAAGAACAACAATGTGGTGAAACTGTTTCAGTGAGTAAAGATTCACTTTGGAATCATTTTTCTCAGAAACATGAGAGTGTGCTACGCGAACAGGCGGAAGCCAGAGCAAAACGTGAGCAAGTTTTATATGGTTGTAGTGTATCAAGTCTATAAAGTAAATTAAAGTATAAAAGCCTATAAAGTAAATATTGGTAATCAAATAAATTTGTTTTGTCATTCAAAATAGGTCTAATAGGATTTTTTAAATTTCATGTAACGCTGTACGTAAAATTTTATTTTATAGACGTGCTGCATCAACAGAAAAAAATTGAGGAATTTAAAACGTGTCTGTATATTCTTTAGGCTATTAAACCCACTGATTCCTTTATTTTTAAG